GCAATAATTTTCGCTCTTGTCCGCAAGACGATCCTCTTTTCTAATAGCCTGCTTTTCTAATTCCAGCTCTCTTTAATTTTCAGCATTGTCTTCCTTAATTGCGTTCTTTTTTCAGTCATCAAATGGATTGGCCATTCTGTTTTCCATTTTCCACTATATTTTATTTCATTTTTTCTCAGTTACTATGTTTGCCTTCCTCTTTTATTTTCTATTATTTCTCTCCTAGTGTTTGGCCATTGTACTTATTAGCCTTCTTGGTATGCGATACGGTGCGCAGCCCAATCCTTCTTGCCTATCTGCACCTTTATGCTCCGATCAACAACATTACCCACTGAGCATGAGTTCTGTTAAGACATTACCCAACTCTCATTGCTACAGTTTTTCAAACGGGCGTTCCCATCCTGCGGTCGCTGCCCGAGACCAGATTGATGTTACGAACGCGGATATCTCCCAATTCGAGTCAACTTCACTGTTTCCATCAGCGGCCTCTAGCCTTCTTCCTGGCTATTCAACTTTTACCACACCAACCGGGTCTGCTGTTAGCACCCAAGGTTGCCTCTGGCCGGGCCGAGGACTTGCACCTCCCTCTTTTGGCGACCATACTGAGTCCTATGCTGGATGGGATTTAAACTCAGGAAATATATTTATATCTGCCGATAGCCAAAAGGATGCACATGAGTTGGATGAGCTAGGAAATTTTATCGATAAAGATATACTACTGGCGAATGAAGATTTAGGAGAGGAGGCACTTGGAGATTATTGTGATGTCATTGCTGGGTTTGGAGTTGACGGGCATCATATGGCGCGAGCAGTTTGCAAATGCCTCACAGCTCTTTTATTCAGTCAAGGCAAGTATCACTTCATTGATGTAGTCGCCATATTTATGAATATCATAATTTATGATGGGGCGACCTTCATTTCGCAAGAAAGTGCATAAAAAAAGATATATTTATCGAAGGTATGAAAACCGAGATGGTGTGACCTTTTGTGTAGTCGCAATCTGCTTTCGTTGTATAACTGTTGTCTGACCTTGTTTTAGC